TATAACTTCTCCATTGGACGGGAATTTATATTTTACCCGATTGTTATTTTACGACATGGACAATACCTGGATTATTTCTATACCTGATACATGGACTGTAGCATTGTCGAGTTTTCAAGAACGATCCAATAATTATTTACACCGGAAACGATTCCTTCACCACATAGCTTGTTGTGCTTGCCCCCTACAGAGACCTGGAGACAACTGGACGCTTCAACGGGAGAACGACCTAGTCATAACTTTCATTCCACGAGGAGAACCCCTGCGGCTATAATACCAGAAGCTTGTAAAGTTAGCTCATCAAGCAGCACTGTCCGCTTAGGCCTAGCGTAACCTGTTTGTATCATCACTTTATTAATTGCTGTGAACCGGTGGTGAGTTTGGAGATTGGACAAGAAAGTTAACTCAAGGAAGCAAAGTCAATTGTTCCGTTCTACCTTTGGCTTGGAGACACACATCGATAGAACACACGCTGGGGACCCCAGTGTCGCCTACGCAACTTGGTGCCTGGGAGCTGTAGGCGGAGCAATCGTAAGGAGTAAACTGTTCCTTGAGTTTTCTGGTTTTCCGGCAGCACCACGTGCACTGAGCGTTAAGTGCAGTCTCTAGAGTAGCAAATGGGGCCTGCAGATTGTTAGAAAACGGAGATGTTTTGAGCTTTACCATGTTTGTCGATAAAGCGGCATCGTCGAAGCAGGCACCCGAGTAATCTTTTTCACTCTCGTAGAATAGTTTGAATTTGGCGAACTTGTCGATGCCAGAAACTCCACAGAGACCGTCACTATTGGGGTTATTGACGACGTTGGTGTCAGCTGTGTACGCTCTGTAAGCGGTATCGTAGCTCTGAAATGTAGCTAATGCTGTTGCGTCGCAGTCGGCGCCAAACGTTCAATAGCATGACAAACTACAGCTAACTTACTCGTGAAATCGAGTACATTCCTCAAGTAGCGGTCAGGCCAGAAGCTTTATGCTGCAGAAGAATTACCAGAGATGAACGATCCAGAACGTGGCCTCGTAGGCGTCAGCTTCGATTGCATCAGGAAAATTTTACATTTCAGAATACCTTGGCAAGTTCAAAGCCTTTCGAATCGGAATTCGATGCCCCGATGTGGACAGTCGCGCCGCAATGCCACGACTCGAAATTTGTTGCTGTCCGTCAGGGCTCACAGAGACTGAACACTCCACTCGGCTCAGCGATGAGGGTGGACCAAGGTGACAACGTTTAGCATTTGCATCACGACGGTCGCCGTTATTGGCGTAACGGACTGCCCCGTAAACCTACATGAGCCCATAGCGGAAACGGTTGCCACCAGCTAACCGCAGACCAGACCTTCGCTCGCCATGTTCTTTTTTGCGAGGCGGTCCATTCCCTATGCTGCAGGATCGTGGGACCGCTTTTCGTGCGTGATGGCGGTTTGACTAGGCTGGCTCCACCGAGCCTCCGACCTCAAAGCTCGGCTTCAACTTTGAGGACAAACCGCAGCAACACCTTCTAGGCTGGCAACACATCTTGTGCGCTGGTTTCTGATAGTGTCGGAGGTTCTTTGCGGATTTTCCTCTGCTTTTGATTCAACATGCACTGCTCGCAGTACTATACGACGCTGTTTCAGCTGCATATCCTGCATTGCAACTTGCAGTGCCATTCAGCGCCGCTCGCCTGTCTGATTTTCAGGGCTGAACTAACGCCGTGTGTCCGCGACACCCGTGGCAACTTTTGTCAGCTCCTTGCTGAGCCCAGGCCTCGCGTCGAAACCACACACAAACTCCAGGTGGTTGCACACGTTGTAACTCTGTCGTGGCGACGCAAAAGGGCCGATCTTCGGTCGCATATCGATCGGCACACATCCAGCCAGAGCTCAGCGCCACACTATCCAGCGTCCGCACGAACTGACGCAGTCGGTATTTCCAGCCAACCACCTCACGTCACTCTCCGGAGGCGACGTACACAGAGCTCTGCTTGCAGGTATATCCGCCAGCTCTGCACGTTGTAGCATCCCCTGCGCCCGTCCACACTAGGAAGCGACCGACAGAACAAGACGATAAAACGCACCGGACCATTTAACGTAGCGTAGCGCAGGACAACTACAGGCGACCATGAACATGTTCCAGAGCGGAGTGCAGGTGTTCATCCCGGCGGCACTTAACCGGCCCACACACACGCTATACAGCATCTGTATGCTGGTGCAGCCCACTAATCAGGAATGGACCGTCAACCGCCGCTACTCGCAGTTCCTACAGCTGCGCAAGGACATCCAACACAGGCTCGCCACGCGCGGCGTATCGTGTGCTAACTGCGCCAGCTTTAACCGCGCCATCAGCAAGTTCCGCTTCCCGGGTAAGTCGCTACTCCGCACCAACGCGGTAGTGCGCCACCGCGTCTCAACCCTACAGGAATTCCTCAAGCTGCTCGTGGGGCGTGTATACAACGACCTCCCCAAGTGTGGTATCTGTGGCGAGGAGATTAAGGACATGATGCGACCATTTCTTATTCGAGGAGCTCAGCCCATGAACGGCTCCATCATCTCGAAGATCAACAAGTCGCTTTCACTTGCATCGTACGCCGTAGTGGACCAGCCGATAATGCCCGTGCCCGAACCGGCCCCGCCCATTTCGCCCTCACTGATGGGCAGGGAATTATTCAGTGCCAGCAAGTCGTCCAGCAAACCCATTTTCACACACAGTCAGGTTTCAGGCAGTAAATCCATCTTCTCGCGTAGCAAGGCGATGATGAGTACGACGTCGGACGACGCGTCCACACAGCCGAACGAGTCGGAGGACCCCATTATGGACTACTCGGATAGCGATGAGGACGGCTACGGCAAGAAGTACGACGATCAACGTTGCTACGATGAGGGTGTCCCTCTCGAGGAGGCTATGAAGCAGGTGGTGGTACCGAAGGGTGCTCGCCTTACATGCGAAGAAGTGGTTGTCCGGCTAACATCGATGTGGGCTGCTTACGATCTGGATGAGGCACTCTCATCCTTACCGCCTGAGCGCCTTTCACAGCAGGCCAACTTCTCTGTCGACGAGAAAGAATACGCGTTTTAGGTGTGTTTGGATAGTGCAATTTTGCTTTTCCACCTCAAAGGTAACTGCTAGTCGGCCAAACAGAGCCGCATCGCTCCGTGGGCAGAGCATTGTGCAAAACTAAGTATGAAGCAGTCAGTATAATATCAATCCGAGCAGCACACATGGGTAGGCATGAATGCGTCTTCAACTTGTTGCGATTTCTTGAGCAATCACGTCACTAAGTTTCATTTCCCTGTTTACGCTTCGATACTGGCCGATCTCGCTCAAAATGGGGCTTTTATAACTTGTCGGGGTCGGCGATACCGGTGGCAACCACGGAGACGCGCAACTTGCCACCCAGTGAGTCGTCAAATGTCGAGCCGAAAATAATATTGGCATGCGGGTCGTCGAGCTCCCTCGTCACGCGCTCTGCAGCTTCATCGACTTCAAAAAGCGTCAAGTCGGAGCCTCCTGTGATGTTAACGATCATGCCCTTGGCGTCCTGCATCACGGCAGAGAATGGTTAATTCGTCGAGCATTGCACAGGGTTATCGCTTACAATGACATTCGTTCGATACAAACCTTAATCGAAATATCACCAAGAAGAGGATTCGCTAGTGCATCCTCAGCAGCACACAGAGCCCTACAAGATGATCGTAAACCCAATCAACCCGTTATTATAATAGGCCATATCGTAAGTTACTCTTCAATGACAATCAGACGCACCGGTTCTCTCCATCTGCCTCTCCACTTCCCATCATGGCGTTTCCCATGTTTTGCATCACCTGCAGTTACAGTGTTAACAGATCGTTGAAAACGTAATGTCGCTTTCAAGTAAACGTTAATTGAGCTGCATACCGATTGAACGTCCGCAAAGTCAAGGTTAATGAGCCCTGGCATCACCATCAAATCGGAAATGTTCTTGACACCGTCAAGGAGCACATTGTCCGCCATTCTGAGAGTGGAAGAACCGCCATCGTTAGCGAATTAATCGTAGTGGTCATACACAAATCGAACTGCTCAAGTCACGTACCTGAATGCATCCATCAACGAGGTGCGCTCATTTGACATGTTGAACAGATTTTGGTTCGGGATCACAAGCATCGTATCGACGCTATCCTTCAGTTCTGCAAGGCCTTGTGCCGCAAGCTTAGCGCGGTTATTACCCTCAAACCGGAACGGCTACGGAGTATAGCGAATCCAGGGGTGTTAGATCATAATATTCGGTTAACACTTTTACAGTTAGTGAATACCTTGGTAACCACTGCTACGGTGAGGATACCAGCCTCTAAAGCAGCCTGTGCGATGACGGGGGCTGCGCCGGTGCCAGTTCCACCGCCCATGCCTGCAGTAACAAACATCTGCATAGGGACAAAGGATATCGGGAGTCAGAGCACTCGTCGTCATCACCTAGGAGTTTCTTTCGCTTCAACCCGAACGAAGCTTTTTGCAACAACTGCTGTCATCTAAACGCACCATGTTTGCACCCTGAACGCGCTCCAAAATCTCGTCAATCGCAGTTTCTGCGGCCTCACGGCTAATCAGCCAGTGTAAGTGATTGCAACACGTCAGTAAATACTTCGGTGTTGTCAACATCAGGTCAACTCACCCAACTTCGGGGTTGGCACCACAGCCCAGTCCTCCAGTCAGTTCAGGGGCCATCTGAACGCGGTTCTCCGTCAGTGTTGTGCGCAAGTGCTGAGCGTCCGTATTGCAAACAAGAAACTCCACGCCTTGTAGGCCTCGCGCGATCATGTTGTTCACTGCCAGTTCACGACAAACCGGTCCGTACAATCAATTAGCACCAATTCATCACACCAGCAAAATAGCTATCCACTAGTGGTTCACATGCCTGCATTTCCTCCAGCTCCTCCGACACCGACCACCACAATCTTCGGAGCGAAGCCCGACAGGTCTGTCACGGGGTGGTCCTGTGTGAGCCAAAGTGGCTGTGTGGAGCTCATGGCGGGCGGTACGAGCTTCTTCTCCACCGCCGGCGGTGAAACTGCGCTCACATCTGTTGGTGATTCAGGTTTTCCCTCCACGTCCACTTTCACCGCGTCGTCCTCGTCTTTTTGAGCCTTTTTAAAGCCCTGTATTCAGTACGACATGTCAAACACGCTTTTCCCCCTAGTTTTCATAGACTTGACGGATTTTACCAAGCGCAACGCGGCAGCTGCGGCTTCAGTCGCTTCAGTAGAGAAGGCGAGGTGCTGGGTGACGGTTTGGGAGGCCTGGCGGGCACGCAGCAGCGCCGTCGCCGCAGCTTTCATGCGGGAAATCGCCATGAACTGGATCGGTAGGTTTGTGGTAGCTGCAGAAATCCTTTTTATCAGCATATTCACTATTGGAGGTCTTCTCATTCTTAGCGTGTATTTATCGAACAACCGCAAATATGTACCCATTTTCTTTCAAGCTTTTTGCTCCTGGTGGCGTAGTTCCTCCACATTGGCCTTAATATACAGGAGTACTTCTGCTTCGGTCAGATCCAATTGAATGCCGTAGTTGTGTCCCACGAACGTGCTGAAAGCATCAACGTCCGAACACAGAAGGCGTGCTGTGTCGGTCCAGATGACCACGTCACTGATCACCAGCTTCGAAGAGGTGAGCAAGTTGAAGCTGTTGCGATGTACACCGAAAAGTTAAACAGCAATACCGACAACGCATTGCACAACCTGTACGTACCCATAACGACGCATCAACTCGGCCGCATCGTTGGGCCAGCGGTCGGCTTTCGATGGTACCTTGGTTACTTGGCAGTCGGGCAAGGTAGTCGCCAGAATGTCTACGCAGGAAAGCGAGAAAAGCATACATACCCGTTAGCTCTGCATGTAGCACAACACACTACCATACCGAGCAAACGATCGCAGATAGCATATTCTTCGCTGTTGACTCGCCCAGCCAACGTGTAGTGCACCATTCCGTTTGTTGGCGACGAAAATGTGAAAATATCGATAACCTCAGAATAGTTCATGTTTACTAAAAAAAATGCACATTAGATCCAGCTCACTAGCAACATGTCATTCCTATTCGTACATGAATTCTACTGTTGCGCATTTGCGTTTACATTCTCTCGCCGCCTTTTTGCTTCTGCACCGACACGTTTAAACTTTTTGCTCTCCGTCTTGTTCAGGCCACGATACTTTTGTTTATCCCAGCGGGACATCTGCAACGAATCCCGGCACCCAGCGCCACCTTCCCAGTGTCGGGAGGTAGATCTTTTTGCTGCTACGTCGTTTCCGCAGGAGCACACTTTAACCGAGCTCGATTGCTCCTTTGAGCACAACCCGCAAATCATCCGACTGGCAAATTTACCCAGGTTAGCCTCTGGACAATCACTCGAGTCGTGACATACATCACAAGGGAAGGCTTTGCCACAACACTGGAATCTAAACCAGCGTAGTGAGTGTTTGTAGTGATCACACGCTCCATTGCGAGGCAGCGGTTGTCCCAACATGAAAGTCTCCACGATCTGTTTAGCTCCTTTCTTGCTCTTGGCAACCTTTGCGGCAGTACCATCGGGCGATTTACTGCGTTTAGTGCTTGATCCCTCCCGTTGGCCAGCCACGAAGCGTTTTGCCATCACAGCAAGTTTGATGTGGCAAGAAAAGCACGCTTGCTCTGCTCGCTGTCTCGGCGTTATCCTCTCCAGTAATGCTTCGCATCCGCACTCCAAGCAAGTGACTAATACATCTGTGGGGAGCACGTCGACGATTGAGCAGTTCTCAGTGTCCACATAAGCTAGCACATCGCTCTGCGAATGAGCAAAGACTGGTCTCATCATCACGTGGTGAAGTACACTGCATCGTGGGCACCACTTCTGGATTTCAGGAGAGCTTAAACTCAGAATGGCGTCAAATTTGAGTGGACAGTTATCGCACTGGACCTGGAATACCAATCGATGCGCAACCAGCGTGCCAACTTCGTGTAGGAACAAATCTTCGAGGCGGATTTGAGTGCCCTTGACTTCAGGCTCGGTCTCGACAGCAACGCGCTTCTCAGGGGGAGTAATTTTTAAGTTCTGAGCGTGACCTTCGCATCTGATTGATTCTGCTTCGTCCTCTTTGTCATTATCCTCTTTGGCAGCAATGGTGGGATCCACGCCACGCCGCATAAGCTCACATAGCATTTTGAAGCGGTCAATGCACTCGTTCAGGGACCTGCCTTCAACCTCATTTGCTATGCTTGTCCAGCGCTCCTTCTTGTCCATTGAAGCTGGATACTTTTTCAACGCCAGATCTAGTGCTCGCTGCTGTGCCTCCGTCCACTCTTTGCTGTCTTCAGCTTGAATGATAAACTTCTCATTGTTGGATTTTAGTGATTTCCTTTCCACTTTCTCATCTGTTTCAGTATTTTTCGATTTGATCGCAGTTCGACTTGGAGAGCCCAGCTGCGCTACCACAGCGCGTGGCGGGGCATCAGTTCCTTGTGTCTGCTCCTTGTTATTTGCTCCAGTATTCTTAAGCTCGTGCGAGAACTTGCACTTGTCTCCATCACGGCATCTGTTTTGCGCGAAAAACTTGCATCTGCGTACCCGCGTCCTACTTTTCATCTTTGGTTCAGCTGCTACCTCAGGTGGCTGTGCCGGGTCAGCATCGCGGACAACCGATGTAACACCAGCTTCTGGGGCTTCAGAGTCGTCACTACCGCTTTCAATCTTCAGCTTTCCCTCCTTCTTTACATGCGAGAACTTGCAATTGTCTCCGTCTCTGCAGTTGCCTCTAGCGAAGAATCGGCATGGTCGTTGGCCACGTCTTCTCGTCGATTTTTTCTCAGGTAAAACTGGTATTTCTTCAGAAACTTCCAACTCACCCTGTGCATTACTCAATTCTGCCAGCTCTTGCTCTGCCTCAACATTTTTCTCGAATGGTGCGATGACTCTCCAGAAAATATTGTCGATCCAGGTCAGCAGCTTCCTGAGCGCGAACATTCCGCAAAGCTGCTGAGCTCTGGCATTCACTGCAACGTTCAATACTTCAACCTGCTCGTCCGACAGTCGACTACTCCACTGCGCAAAGTCTACTTGGGCAGCTTCCAATGGATATTTCCCCGGCAGCGTCATCTGCAGCTCCACTTGGCCCTTTAGCCGCGCCGGCAGCTCCGGATCTGATAGACTCAAGTAGAGACGAACATGTTTGTCCTGCGTCGTAGCGTCCTCGCTGCTCAACTGCAAGTGGTAACGGCGCTCCAATGCCATCCACTCCTTCTTGGCGGCGTCCGTCTCGTTCGCCAGCGTCTCCTGCCAGCTCGGGTCCGCCATTATACTCGTCAACCTCTGTGCTAGACGGCAAGTTCGAGAATGGTTGTTTTTAGGAAAATTATATTTTATCGGATTTCTTGTGATTTTTCACTGTACCGGAAGAAAAGTTCCCCGAAACTTCGGTCAGGTGGTATTTCTTGCAACGGCGGCCACCATGTGGAGTATCCGTCTTCGCGGGCCGCGCGGCAAGCAGGTGGTGCTGAAGATCGACTCGGACGCCAACTTTAAAACGTTCTCAGGTTCATGGACTGCGTGGTGTGAGTGCTTGCCTCTTCGTATTGGCTGAGTGTCTGATAATTACGTTCTACAGAGCTCGCAGTGAAGGAACTGGGGCTGCAGACAAAAGACTCACCTACTTGTACGTGGCCGAAGCTACTGTGGATGATTGTACTTGATCTTGAGTTTGTACTTTGTGCTGCAGTTCGCAAAGGTTTTCCGCCTCGACCAGTAGAAGTGGATGGCTCGGCGCTGGTCAAGTTCGTCTTTGAGGCCAACGACACGGTGGTGGTGGACACGAGCTCAGGCACTGCAGCTCCGATGCAAGCTGCTAGTGCTGCAAAGAAGCCTCCACCGAGACCAAAGCGAGCTGCTGCAAAGAAGACGCAGGCTGCGGCTAAAGCACCGAGAGGTGGAGTACATACGCTGCACCCAACGACCAGTGCGAAGAAGAAGGCCCCGCCGAAGCGGAAAATCACAGGCAGTGGTCATCAGCTTGGTAGCTCGTTGGAGAATAACCCATCGGAAGATGCAGAGGCTGTGGGTGATGGTGAAGGCGAGCCACAACGCAAATATCGCCGCAGTAAAGCGATTAACCTCACGTCCAAGGAAGATGTGGAGATCAGTCTGGTGAACGCTGTGAGTGGGCAATCTCACGGCCGTGCCGCCAAGTTCTTCCGTGCGGCGACGAAGAATGCAGTGGAGCATCAATACGAGATAACACTGGCCACGTCTAGACTGAATGCAGCGTTGGCACATAACTATGAGATCGAAGAGCTATCGACCACCCGACGTGCTGATGGGAGCGCTGCTAAGCTGCGCGTTCGCTTTAAGGAGACACCGCGCACGTGGAAGGAAGAGATAGTGGATCTGCTAAAGACAGACGAACTGCAGGCCATTCTGAAATATGTATTGATATCGGGGGGCGAGACTGGACGAGAAATGCTCAAGCCATTCAACATGGCGCAAGTGTCTACCAGAGTGTTTTGGAGTATTGCGCGCTTGTACGATGGAGATGTTGCTGTTGGACTAGCCGATCTTGTACCCGATGAAGATTGGTCATTCTTAGACGCTCGTACGCGGTAAGTTTGGTTGTCGTTATCGCTGCGTCTGCAGCATGAACCTTTGTTTTTGACATATGATTGCTGGCTCGTTACAGTGTTATGTCCGAGAAAGCTATGGAGGCAAAGGTAGGAGTCAAGACATTTTTCAGCAGCGTTCCTTAGATCTGGTTAATATAATAATTGGTACCTTTCTGTATGCAATTGTAGGTAAATGAAGAGCAGTATAAGTTGTGGAAGCAAGGAAAGCAAGGAACTATCCGGAGTAGCCGTACATCTTCTTTGAAACCGGAGAGTAAGGTGGAAGCAAAGCCCACACGACGTTCTGCAGCTAAGGAGACGAAGCCTGAAGTCATTTCTGTGGACTCCTGTGACGAAGACGAGGCTAAACAAGAGGCAGCAGAGCCAAAGCGACCAGTAGCTCAGACGCCTGCTCTGTCAGCGAAAGAGGCAACTCCGAACACCCTGCGTAGCGCAGCGGCACAAGCTGCGCTGGCCCGGTTTGACCGAAGTGCGCATACAAGTGCTCTTGTATCTGCTTTTCTCCCAGTAACCCAATCGTCTATCAAGAAAGAAACGGCGGTCGACGAAGAGGATACCGAATCTGAGGAGGAAATCGAGGAAGCCATTACGGTGTACTGCGATGCATGCAAGAAAGCTCGTATTTTATCTGCAGAGGAAGCAGCAAACGCTGATCTGGATAAAGATCCGTGGACCTGTACCAATTTGGCGAAGGCTGGACGCAGCGGCGAGTGCGACGCTATCGACGATGAAGTGGCACAGATCGCGGGCAGCCCCATTGCTGATTGGTTACTTAAGGCTTCCATCACTACTCGGCTAGAACTAGCGGACGCTTCTGTGGGTGCCACAATGCATTCTCTTGTGAATCCACTGGACCCATCAGCTCAGATGCTACAGGTAAAGCTTGAAAAGCTGATCGATGAGGTGAGTATACCTGGAGTTGATGATGGGCAACACCGTGCTAACTTGTACATGTGAATGAAATAGGCGCGTCTTGATGAGGTGAACGACTGGATGGCGGAAATTGCTGGTGAGCCTGTAGTGGTGCAACAACTGGAGCTTCAGAAGCTTGGCACGCCTGCCGATTTGATTGCCACACCGACCGACTTGATCCTCGATGCTGTTGCCAATGCTGTTGATGTTTCTCTCGAGGTGGTTAGTTCCTGGCAGACTCGTGCCCAAGCTTTGGTGGAGAAGCACCCCTGGTTGGCAGAATGGCGAACGCTATAGCGCCACCTTTTGTCGACGAAGACAAGTATGTGATGCTGGCCACTGCTTCGATATTCACAGCTATTTGAAAACGAAATGAAAAAGTTATATTTCTTCCGCTTCCAGGCTTTCTGTTCTACACATGCAGAAGGCGACAAACGGCCCATGAAATGGTTCGTTCTGCCCCCTTTCATTGTCGCTTCGCCTCCCGCCACCTCCCGCTATTCCGCTTTATCGCACCATTTCGTGACTGGAGCCTTGATCTGCTAACTCGCTGGCTGCTTAGTCAATCTTGATGGAACTGTAGATCTTGCGCGTAAACCAGAGGCAAGCGAAGTAGCCGATGGTTCCCGTGAGGAAGAAGAACGTGACCGAGATCAGGAACATATAGCCGAAGTACAGGATGCCAGAGACGAACGCCGTAATGTTCAGCTTCGTGAAGAAGTACAGGAACGAGTAGAGGAACAGGTACACGGCTGCAGAGCCAGAGGTGAGGAACGAGCGCCACCACCAGCGGTAGTCCTCTGCGCAGAGCTGGAAGTAGCACATCACGACCGTCACCTCAGCGCACGTGGCCACGAGGATCAGCAGCACAATGAACAGGAAGCCGAACACGTAGTAAATCTGGTGCAACCACAGCGCCGACATGATGAAGAACAGCTCAATGAACACGGCGCCGAAAGGCAGGATGCCACCCACCAGGATGCTGAAAGGCGAGGACAAGTACCACACTTGCTCCGGGATCTGACGCGCGATCTGGTTCGTGCGCACAGGCTGCTCAATGGCAGCAGCCTTGAAGCCAAAGTAGCTGCCGAGGAAAACCAGTGGCACGGAAATGCCGAACCACAACACAAGCAGAGCGAAAAGCGTACCGAACGGGACGGCTTGTGAAGAAGACTTGCCCCACAACACCAGATTCAGCAGGAAGAACACGGCGAAGAGCAGACCAGGGTACAGCACAGCTGTGAGAATCGTGTTCTTCTTCCAGTCCTTGCCGTTGAACATCTTGTACGTACGTGACGAGTGGTAGCCAGCAAAGCTGCCCATGAACACGAAGAGCAGTAGCAAAGTCGTCAGCAGAGAACCACGGTTGGCCGGCGAGAGCAGTCCCAGCAGCGCAATAATCATCGTCGACGCGCTCATGCTGCACACCTGCACACCTGTGCCCACAACCACTGAGAAAAGCATGGGAGAAAGTTGCGGCGGACGGAACACATCGCCGTGAACAAGCTTCCATCCAGACTCCTCCTGCGCCTCCTCCGTAGTCTGAACCTCGTTATAGCGAGCAATATCACGGTGAAGCGTGCGCAGCATGATCATAGCGATCATTCCCGTGAGGAATAGCACGATCATGAGCGAGTTAATGATGGAGAACCAGTGGATCTGGTCGTTCGAGCTCTTGCTGCTGATAATACGGTCCCAACGCTCCTCCCAGACGATATCCGACTTGACGAACTGCACATCGTACGTGTATAGCACAGTGGTCTCTCCCTCCGGGTTCAAGTACTGGTAGTTGCCCTGCGAGACCTCCTCAATGTTGACAAACTTGCCACAAGTGTCCGAGTCGAGTTCCTGCCCAGCCATAGGCTCATTCTCATAGCTGTGCTTGATGGAAGTGGGTACAACCTCGAAGCCGACGACGCGCCACTTGGGGACGTCACCGTCCTCCTCGGCGTATGGGTCCGAGTTCACTGATATGATGATGCGCACGTGGTTGTACAGTAGGTATTTACCGTCCTCATCCACCTCGCCCACAGGGAAGCCGCGCTTGAAAGATCCAGCCTGCTGCGAGTCCGTTGGGTCGCGGTACAACACCGGCAGGTTGTCAACTACCCACTGCACGTAGTACTCATCCTTGATCATGTCGATAAAGGCCTGAGATTGCTCTGACGTGTACGTCATGGGCTTGCACAGCACCTGGCAGATCGCGTCCTTCTCCATCTGCATATTGTAGAGCGAGTCCATGATCGCGTCACCAGCCATGATTTCGCCCAGGTTCTCCTGCTGTTCATTAGTGGCCGTGGGCTTACAGTAAGGCAGGTAGTAGTACTCATACGGCACCAGCGTCTTGGTAGACGTAATCTTGTTCACGTTAAGGCGCACCGTCTCGCCAGCGGCCCAGGACTCGGGCGCCACGCCCGGCACATAGAAGGCGGCACTGGCCTCCTGCACCGCCAGGAGCGCAGCCAGCGCCGTCGCCGCCACGCTCTTCATCCACATCGTGCTTAGGATACAAAGGAAGGAGGGAGGGAAGGAGGGGTGGAAGTTCTCTACTGCCGCTGCCGCCCAACTTCTGGCTTCTTGCGCGGTTTCGAATGAGGGAGTGTGACTGAGCTGCCACGAAGCCGGCGCTATAACGAATACCTTCTCAAGCCGATGAATGGATAAGTAAAAGCCTTCATAAATGAATGCAGACAGTGGGAGAGCTTGTTTGCACGGTAAGCAGCCAATCGCAGCGCTCAGAAAGTATCAGACAAATTCATTGGACAAAAATGAATCGAATCAGAAAACGACACGACCTCGAATCAATTATACGTAAACCACACTTATTACGTGCATCACATAAACCCTCTCATTTCCGTTTTCTATTGGACCCCTCGCGTTTTAACTCCCAAAAGAAAAGCAGCATCGACACTGGAGTTGAAGCTGTCGCGTCACCCTCGAACTGCCATCGCCTGTCGATTGCCATCTTCAGCTCTAAAGGCTAGGTCTGGTACGAGTACTTAGTGAAGGGAATTGGGCTCGAACGTCCAATCCGTTTGAGCGTGACGCAACCAGCCAATCGCCCGCTACACTTAGCCTAACTGGTCTATTGCTGTCACTCTTGATTTGGTCACAGTCGCGAAAACTAGACCAAACCGCCAAACCTGCAGCGATGGAGGTGGCCGTTGTTTCAGAAGCTGTGGTGTCCGAGGCGCTGCATCAGCTCTACAGTCCGCTGAGCTCTCCGCGCGTTCGTCGTCGTGCCGATTCGCTGCTGCAGCAGTTCCAGCGTTCGCCCGAAGCTTCACAGACGGCTCTAGTCGTGTTGCAAAAGCCTATCGTTGACGCAGGGAATACCGAACACAACGCCTTGCTGCGAGCCAAGCGCGCGTTCTCTGCGTCCACGCTCTACTTCACTGTAGCCTCGTACATCCGCAAGTACAAGATGGACGACCCGTCCAACTGGACGCCCGAGGATCGCGCACAGCACGAGATGGTGGTGAAGGAATTCGGTCAGATGGCTCAAGATGTCTGGAACGTTTTAACGGGGCCAAATGGGACCCAAGAAGAGCTGCACGTGCAGACTCATCTGGCCCTCACGATTGCTGTTATCTTGTTGCGCTTCCACGAACCGCAGGGCGACACCACAGTAGTTGGCGCAGTGGAATGGCTTGTTCAAAACCAGAAACACCCAATTGGCGAATGTGTCACGGCTGCGTTGACCAATTTTGCCGTACTGCTGACACTGAAGGTTATTCCAGAAGAAGTGGACAACAAGCGCGTCAAATTCTCCAAGAACAAGCGCGTTCAGTGCGAGGATATGGTGCAACAATGCGCAGCTCACGTGGTTCGTAGCGTTCTGCCGTCAATTTCCACTGCAATTGATGCAAGCGAGGAGCAGGCTCAATTGAAGGGGCTGTTGCTGCAGGCGTTTGCGAGCTGGGTGGAGCATGGCACTGTACCACCTCCAGTTATCATCGAGAGTGGGCTATTGGATCGAGCGTTCGGAGAAGCATTGGTGCCAGCATACTCCGTGCACGCGTTGCAGGTTGTCCGCGAAGTGGTCCGCGCCTGCCGCCACGACGAGCATGTGCAGCTGATGGAGCTTGTTATGCACAATTTTGTGGTTCTAGGAAAGCAGGTCCAAGAGCGCATAGCAGCATCCGAGAAAAGTCTGGATTTTTGCCTTGCTGACTGTGCCAGAGCGTTATCTGAGTGTGGCCAAGCCTTCATCGTGTACTTTGTGGACTATACGCTCGATATGCGCCCCGGATCCTTGGTGTATGAATTCCTAGACGCCATTTTATTCTTTACGTCGCTGAACAACCTCGACATCTCTAACGAAACGATGGAGTTCTGGATTGACTTCCGCACGTACATCTCTGGTAAGCACGAAGAGCGCATGTACGTATTTGAAACGTTCATCTCCCGATTGTTGATCATTTTGATTGAGCGGACCCAGTATCCTGAGGGGTTTGAAGCGTTCCCGGAGGCTGCGAAGGAGGGTTTCTTCCTTTACCGAAGCGAAGTCCGCAACGTGTTCCGTGCACTTGCAACAGTCACAGTGGCTAGCGAGGATAAGTTTATTGTCGATGCTATGCATGCAATCTTCCAGCAGTACGACGACGCCGACTCGGGGTCTGCTTTGCCGGTGAATGTACGTTTGCTGCTGAAATACTGTTTGCTATGTTGCCGAATTAACTCTTTTTGATATTGTGTTGTTGCTAATGTACAGTGGTGGCAGCGTACAGAAGTATACGTACACGCACTTAGTGCATTATCGAAATCGATTCGCGAGGAAGATACATCTCTCGTTCCTAGGCTGTTCGAATACTTGTCGCGGAAGCAGCCCTCTCACCGCGCACTCTTGCGCACAGTTACCATCTTCCTTGGTGTGTCCGGCCATTGGTTCGCAAAACACCCGGAGCAGTTGTCAACCTCCGCGTTCAGAATCATATCCAACGGCTTCGAGTCTCAGAATGACCCTGGATACCCGTTCACTCAGCACGGCATAGAAGACCATGTAGGTGCTGTGGCCCTCCGGAAGTTGACGCTTCGCTGTGGCTCCCACTTTTTCAATCCGCTGTGGATGGACGCGCTGGTTAACCTGTACAGCTCGAACCGTGCAGCAGTGGGCGGTCCGTCGGGGTCGTGTTTGATGGGAAACAGTGCAAAGCTCATCGTCGACTCCATCTGCCATGTCCTTACGACTGTATCGTACAAAGAGGCGCTTCCGGTTGTGGAGGAACTCGGTGCCATCATGTTTGCGGACCTTGCAGCTCGGTACAGTCAACTAAACGCGGACGACGAAAGCTCGGTCGAGTTCCTGTGCGAAATGTTCAATCATTTGCTCGTGTTAGCAACGAGGATCCCTGTGCAGATGGACCAAGAGACCCCGCATCCCGTTCTGTGCGTGCTGCAAAAGCAGTGGGAAGTGTTGGAAACAATTCTGCGTGTGTATGGCTGCTGTGAAGAAGTGGCTGGACAGTTCTGCGCGCTATTGGTCGGCGTGTTTGAATCTTTGCGGTCTCAGGCGCTAGAGATGGCGTCTGCAATCATGCCGGCGTTATTGGAGCAATTCTCACGGAGTTATGATGGTAGTTATCTAAGCGTGATCAAGAGTATCATTGGCTGCGCTGGTGACGACGAGGCTACTGCAGTTAGCTTAGCACGAGTGATGATTATCGTGTGTGAGAGTTCAATGAGCAAGATCGCGGCAGACGGCAGTGTCGATGAACATCCGGGGCTGACTATCGCGCTGTTTTCTTTGGTAATAACATGCGGCACCCATCACCCGTCAATTTTAGTCCAGTCGAACCAGTTGGAAGGTGTGTTGTCGCTAGCACTGCACGCCTTTAAGTCCCAGAACCCTGAAGTTGGAGCTGCAACTCTAGACTTCCTGCTTGAGCTGGGCTCTTTGTACGGTCAGATCCTTCGCACCCCGGAAAACTTGCTGCAGGGGCCAGAGTTCGCAGGCAAACTATTGCTGCACCAACAAATTCAGACTTTATTCTTCGAGAAAGACGTGCAGTACCACGTACTCTTCGCTTTATTCAATGCCGCGGCGGGAGGAATGCCACCAAATTTGATGGAGAAGATCGCAGAGGTCGTTCGGTCTTGCTGGGTTTACTTCGGAAGACAGCGGAGTGAAGAGCTCATTTACCGGCTCCTGTCCGACAGCAACTTTCTGGGTTCACAGGTCAGCGAGCGCGCTCGAACTGAATTCCTCAACTACATTTCCACACCGACGTGCGTGGAAAACTCGCGCAAGTTTAAGCGCGTATTGAACGCGTTCTGCGACCACTTCAAACGCAACCTAACAGGCAGCGCGATGTCCACATGAAATGCTTCTGCTAGTTTGCTGCAAAGTGCTGCCAAAAACAATGAAAACAGCCGAACAGAAACGCAAACAAAAAACGAAAATGAGGCAAAAGAGCGGGCAACCAGATATTTTAGTGATACGATGCAAAGAAAACCTAGGCTTCGCTATTTTGCCTTGTCAACCAAACAATTTCGTTTCTACTGAAACGGGTTGCCAGCGTCCTCCCAGGACGTCGTGTTATTCACCGTAGTGGCAGTGATCAAATGTCCACTTGGAGGGCGAGAAGCATAAGTAGTGTTCGACCACTCCAAAATCTTCTCAGCAATATCCTCCGCCTGTGTCAGTTTAATTGATAATGCCGCGAGTTAATGATGATGCGGGCAAACTAATAAAATAAAAGATTTTACCTTGGTCCACGTCGAAAAGTCAGCATCAGCCATAAACTTTCGGTTCATCGGCGTGTCAATTGTCGTCGGCAGTACACCCAAAACCGACGATTCCTCAGGTAGTTCAGTCCTGCAATAAAGGAATTTCACATCATGAGTAAAAAGCAATATATGGCTTGGACAAGCCTTTTCAAGCCTTACGCTGCACTGGCGATCAAATGATGAGTGGCTGCCTTGATCGCTCCATAAGATACCATGCCAGGAGTTGCCTGAAGTGCGGCAGTTGCGCCCGTGAGAACGAGAAGTCCCCCAGGCACAAGCAAGTGGCTCGCCAAATACGTTGCTACAGAATACGTCAGGCACGACATCGTTAGCAACTCCAGATTGTTTCAACTCGAACCTAGTTCACCCACCTAGAAACGCCGACTCGAGGTTCTTTGAATGCATTTCCCCCAAGTTGATGAGCGAGTCCGCGTCTCGGATACTGCCGCCTGCCCAGCCGCCAGCAGTGCACACGACCGTGTTCACCTTTCCATATCTGTTAGCACACAAACGTCAGTTCGATAATGCAAAGAGTTCCAGTCACCATTGCAAAAAGACCTGCTCGAGATTTCCTTCAGCGTCTGCTCAGCCTGCTGTAGCGAGTTGCTGTTGGGCAGCAACACGTTGTTGTGGGCGTCATCATTCGCCGAGAAGTCAACCGAGGTGACTCCCCATGAAGCACGACCGAAGTGGCTGACCACGCCGCGACCTAGCGCACCAGCACCGCCAACGACAAGCAACTTCTTTGACATCTTGAAGAATGTTAAATGGGCATCACGGCTTTCGTTTTGACATCGAGGTAGGTGTTTAGACGAAGAGATTTGCAGGCGTCTAATACACTTTCTAAATCCTAATTAATTTGATTCATGCCAAATCTTTTAATTTAGAAGCAAAAAGATTTGATTCATGTCAAATCCTTTATTTTATTTAGAACCACAACGATTTGATATGTTCGAAATCGTAGATTTCCAGATTTGGGCTTACGAGAGAAACAGAACTGCAGTGATTACTACGAAGTACAAGTTTAACAATTGATTTGCTTCAATTAGCAAAGACGCTTTGAACACGAGCTGCCTTTCGATCGACAGCAGAGCAAACTAACGACGTATATCTGTTTAATCTATGAGAATTTCTCCGAGTGGAAATCGAAGATGGTTCCATTCGGGTCTGAGGATGAGTACCGCTTGCACGTGGTATCCAGGATCTCCTCAAGCGCGTGCGGGCCGCAGTAGAACACGCCGACCTCTTCACCAGGGTGATTCGCCTTGGCTTCTGAAAAGACCTTGTCCCAGTCCGGACGGCCGAAGTGAGTGAGCTGTTTTGTGTTAAGCCCTGACACAAAGTCCTTGCCTGTTTGCTCGTGCACGAACTCCTGGAACATCTTGAGCTGCGATGTGTTCTCGCTGCCCTTCACCGTACTCAGGTACTGGTGAGTCTCTATCACGTTATCGCGATCCATCTCGGAAATCTGGTTCATCGTTTCTTCAAACCAGCTTAGCGATTCCTGTCCACGAGTTACCCAGTGGAAGTAGAGCTTCTGGATCTTGAACGAGCCTGGATGCCGGACGTGGCTGCAGTTGGGGCAGCGGTTGTCTTCCCAAAGGTGCACAACGTCCTTCAGGATTGAAGCAAACGGGGTAACACCGATACCACCACCGACACATATGACGGTCTTGTAGCGGTGGTAATCCTGGGTCGGTGCGCCAACGGGGCCATCCAGGTAAATGTCTGGATACAGCACCTTGCGCTCGTGGCAGTCTGCGATGACTCGACCCAGGGCTTGAGTCCAGTCACCACACACACGGATGTGGACACTGATGTAGTTATCTCCAGGAGCCGACGAGATCGTGAACGGGTGCCACTCATGGGAGGAAATCAGCGGACAGTTGACGAACATGTACATACCCGGTCTGTAGACGAATCGACGGGGTTTTTCCATGAACAAAGCAACGGTACCGTCGAGTTCCATGGCCTCCATGATACGCACAGGCGCAGCAAACATCTTGGCGTAGCGGAAGCGGCGCTCAATGAGGTAGATGAGGAATGGAGGCGTAATCCAGATGTAGGAAGAGGAGCGAGCGAGCCATGAAGCAGCACCGTGGAACGACAACACAATCAGGAAAGGTCCGAAGAGCATGTGTGAGTACCAGAAGAGGTTGAACTTGCCCTGGCGGAACTTAGGGATCGCAGCAAGCGGGAACGAAATGCACGTGATGATGAGGAGAATCGCACCCGTCCACACTGGAAGCGACTGAAGCATTGTAGTGAACGGAGGTCGCTCTCCATTCACAAACGAAGATACGTGACGAGTGACGAAGATGGAGCGCTTGATCTCTTCAGGAGTGGCAATCAGGTACAGGTACACCTCGTTGAAGATGTGGGCAACGGTGTGGATAAGACCAGCAATGAGCAACACGCTTCCCGCAATCTTGTGGAAGGCGATACTATCATCAAAGGGGATGTAGCGCCACAGGAAGCGGCTACGCTTCATCACTTGTGTGATGGAACGGCACATGGGTAGCAGAACGAATACACAGTTAACCATCGCCACTTGAGCGTTAGCGCGGGCAATACGGAGACCCCAACCGATGGCGGGATCCACTTCGTACGAGAACCACTTGACCCAGAAGGCGATGTTGTTCACAATGACGTACACCAGAAGCCACCAGATGCGGAGTTTGTTCGCACTATACCAAGCACCGAACTTGCTCTTGGGCCGGATAGGAGCCGTGTACATGGGTACAGACTTCCGGAGGTTGTACGAGTCGTTGATGTAGGGTGCGAACACCGTCTTGAACTGCTCGTACGTCATCGACTCGTTCTTTACCTGAGCCTTGCGGAACATCAGATTGGCCACAGTCTTGAAGTCCGTGCCCACCACGTCAATATGGGCCGCCGAAAAGTTCGATTCTAGTAGCTGAACGATCTGGTCTTCGATGACATACCCTGTGTTGTCCGGGTCGAGTGTTTCGAAGATGAAACGCAGCTTCTCCTCAGCGTCCACTTCCAAGTCCATTACCGCGTCAATCAGAATGGCGTTACCGTCGATCGCGCCATTGCCAGTAGCGTAGCCATCGAACTCGTTGCCATTTACTTCGAACGCTTGCGAAAAAGTCTCACGCTCAATGTAGCCGTCCTTACTGGTGATGCTGCTCATAACGTCGCGCAATGCGTGCAGCTTCTCCATGGGGGTGTAGGCTGAGTTGTTGCTGTTAATGGCGTGTTCGTCCATACTCATGGCCACGTTGTATTTCTGCTCGAAGTTGCAATCGCCCAGGACTGGAACGGACACGACATCGCTGCCGGGCTGCGGACCGTATCTGGAGCCGGCGAAGGACGACAGGTTCGACGCTCGTGCCAAACTCTGGCGCACCATGGACGCGCCCAGCATGGCCTGGACGTTAGGGCGGCGACGGTGGTTGCCACGGCTGCTCTTGCAGTTCGCGCTCATCTTGGGCGGGCCGCGTCCGAGGAAATGTGTGGTGGAGGAGTTCATGTTCATGAACTGGCTGCTGTCCATGAAGTTGGCTGTGCTGTGGAATGAGGACACCATGCCGGTTTGGCTGGCCATCGGGGGAGGAGGAGGCGGGGGTGGTGCCGGCATGCGCTTACTCTTCATGCTGCCCTTCCTGCTGGCCGAGCGCTTATTGCGCGAGTTGGGCGACGGCGTAGAGATATCGATGAACGGCTGTGTATTTTGACCGGGCGTGATCTTGAGATCCTCCGCCGGCGCGCGTACGTCGCTGTCCTGCAAGCCGTCGGCGCTGGTGTCGCCCATCTGGAAGCGGTGCTGGCGATTCATCGTCCACCAAAGTGCCTCGTGTCCTAGTGAAGGCGAAGAAAACGAAGTGGTGAATCCGTGCGTGCGGTCACGAAGATGAGGTCAGTCGAAATCCACGCACAACTGGCCTACGGACGTAGCGCGTTGGATTTAGAAACGCGCTGGCACCTGTGGGTCAGGAAAACAGGCAGGTGGCACAGCCGATGGCGTTGCAATCGCAAATGGCGAAGTGGCCGCGCCCGAGCGTTGGCAGCACCTGTGGTCGGTGCCGAGCCGCATCCGTGACACGTTTGTAAAGTTCAGGCCCACCGAACATCGACATGTTGATTTTTGTATGGAACGTTCCCGTTTTCGCCCGGATTCGCGCTGACTATGGAGAGGTTGGGGGAAAACGTTTTTGGATCCCAGCTGGTCGATGGGCCAAATGCAATTACAGTATAGTCGTACCCTTAATCAGTTCGATGGATACTGAGGTACACTTTGGGAGTAAATTGATTGTCATAGATGCGATTAATTTGGAAAATAAACCAAATGCTATCGTATATGCAAGGGTATTTGAAAATATTTGCGGAATTATCATTCTTGCTTTGACGATGAAATCGAATCAACTTGACCGTAAAGTCAAGTCTTGTCAATCGCCCGAAATGTGAGGTTCAGCTCAAGTATCCGCGCTTGCTTCCAGTAAGTGCCGTCCAGCACCACCAACACCGTGGCGTCTGTTTCGGCAAGCTTGCCATGCCCGTTCAACTCGGCTTCGTTTGTCTGGCAACAACAGATACGCGATTGCTACGCCGCGCAAGGACGAGTTTGAATTCGCCGACCAGATATCGTGACTGGAACGCAAACCTGATTCAAACGTACACAGCAAATGGTCGGCAATGGCATTGCCACTCGTTTGCTCCAAGCTTGTTTCCGGTATGAGTTTGTCGTTCCGTTGGTGCAGACACCGGAAGACCCGGACTCCTGGTTCAATGCCGGCTAAATGCTGTCATTCGGGCTTCAAATGACAGTATCTGCGTTCCAATTTGACAGCCAGTTATTGAGCGTGTAGATCGTCCCTGGGCCCACCCCAAACGACAATCGTATTCAAAGCCTTGACAGCGTGGAAAACCCCGCAAACAGCCACGCTAAAAAGAACAGCTTCGCAGGCCGAAGTTGGCCGCTCGAAGCATTCGGAAGACAATTGCAAATTGCATTAGTAGCAGCGAAACGGGGAGAATTGCCGAACGCATTCCAGCAAGCATTTCACACTTGATCGTGGATCGCCGGAAACCAACACGGTTGCCGCAACGCCATGTTGGTTTTGCCCGAGATCCTTCCTGCGATGTGTTGCCCGAAGCCGGCCGTTTGGCCCCAGCGTCGGGACAGCCTCACCTCTCCGGCAAAGGAGGCGCCTTACGTAAGACATGGCATCTCGTGGAATTGTTGACATGTGAGCGGATTCGACAGCTCCGTCATGTCCTCATGAGCCCGTTGCGGCGAGCAGCGTTCAACATTTTGAGCAACAGTATTCCCGACTTTGTTAACGTCAGACTGCACGTTCGCCAAGCTACTGTAAACACTCGCACGCTCTGCGCGCATTGGATCTTCTCTCTCGAGTGCAACAACCACGACGAGCACTGCTGGAGAGGTGGGGCGATCCTGTAAGGTCGTCAACACCTTGTAGTACATCTACAAGTAGAGCAACCTTCATCACGGTGAGCTAAAGACGTCGCACAGTAAAAACCAGGAGCAACATGTTTTCCAGGAACTCAACTACTGAGACCAGCCAAATGCGTCGTATTCGATGTCAACAGGTCATGGAACACAAATTCATTAATGACTTTCACTTTTAAAGACATTGATTTTCGTAAATACTTATTATGAAAGGTATTGTTTTAGATGCGTCTTCCCACTTATTCCACTATTGGTGTATGACCGTGATGCCCAGTCTCGCTGATAATGCTCTCTTGACGCTCCCCATGGTTCGTCGATTGCTGCTGCTGCTGCTGCTCGCGGTGCAGACCTGCCTCAGTCGCTTCACCGCGAGTGGCGATAGCATCCCCACAGCTGTGCGCCTCGTAAGCATCCACCCACACAACGTCAGCGCCTTCACGGAAGGACTCGTGTTTGACGATGGCGCGCTCATTGAGTCCACGGGGCTCAATGGCGAGTCTTTCATCCGCAAGTACAAACTGTCGGACCTTAGCACTGACTACTTCAGGACGGGGTCCATACAAACCGTGCCCTTCCTACAGGAATTCCGCTTCGACGCCTCCATCTTCGGTGAGGGCGTAACCGTGCTGGGCGACAAGCTGTTCGCGCTAACGTACAAGGCGGAGCAGGTGCTGGTGCTTTCTCGACGTGACTTCCAGCTGATCCGTCAGTTTCCCCTCACGACATCCACCAAGGAGGGCTGGGGACTCACGACAGACGGAGAGTTCCTCATCGCCAGCGACGGCTCGGCCAATGTGCTCTTCTTCGACCCGCGCGATGACTTCACGCTGCACCACAACATCACTGTGCGGAAGAATGGCAAACCGGTGACCAACGTGAACGAACTAGAATATGTAGAAGGGGAACTGCTCGCCAACGTTTGGTTCGAAGACTATATCCTACGCATTGACATTGCTACCGGAAACGTACTGGAGCAAATAGATCTTGACTGGATACCCAACATGGTGCCGAACATTCACACCGAGGTTATGATGGCCTCCCCTTTCAAGCAGGATGCCGTGATGAATGGGATCGCCTACGATCCGGTGACACGTCACGTATTCGTGACCGGTAAGCTCTGGGACTCCATGTTCGAGCTCGAGCTGTCGTATCTAAGTGCGCACGACCGACCTATCATCCCTTAGGTGTGTTTGATACCTTTGATCTTGACATCAATGATCAATTCTGGAGGAGATTGGGGAACATTTGAGAGAAAATCCACAAGTACTTACTACTTCACTTCTGTAAAAAGATATCCAAATACTACAACTACGATCAATGCATGTGTACGCCCGCTTTCGTTCAGCAGCGTGGGAGAAACAGCAACAGTCAACTTACGCGAATTTCTCCGAGTGGAAGTCGAAGATGGTGCCTTCCGCCTTCGAGGACGAGTACTTCTTGCACGCATTGTACAGCACATCTTCCAGCTCGTGCGGTCCGCAACAGAACACACCAACCTCTTCACCTGGATGCTTGGCTCTAGCTTCCGCGAAAATCTTATCCCAGTCTGGCCGACCAAAGTGCGTGAGCTGCTTCGTGTCCATTCCAGAAACGAAATCCTTGCCTGTCTGTTCGTGCACGAACTCCTGGAACATCTTGAGCTGCGAGGTGTTCTCTTCGCCGCCCAACACCACAGTACTCAAATACTGATGCGTCTCAATCACGTTGTCCCGGTCCATTTCGGTGATCTGCTTCATGGTACCTTCAAACCAACTGAGAGATTCCTGACCACGAGTCACCCAATGGAAGTAAAGCTTCTGGATCTGGAACGAGCTTGGATGACGAATGTGGTTGCAATTATGACAGCGGTTGTCCTCCCACAGGTGAACCACATCTTTCAAGATTGACGCGAACGGGGTGACGCCAATGCCACCGCCGATGCAGATCACCGTTTTGTAGCGGTGATAGTCCTGAGTCGGAGCACCAACCGGACCATCAAGATACACGTCAGGGTACTGGAGATTGCACGCGTGGCAGTCCGCAATAACACGAGAAATGGCATCCGTCCAGTCACCGCACACACGAATGTGAATGCTGATGTAGTTGTCACCAGGAGCCGACGAAATAGTGAATGGATGCCACTCGTGGGACGAGACCTGAGGACAGTTGAGGTACAAGTACATGCCCGGTCTGTAGACGAATCGACGGGGTTTCTCGACGAACAAGGCCACAGTACCGTCAAGTTCTATGGCTTCCATGATACGCACGGGTGCAGCAAACATCTTGGCATAGCGGAAACGACGTTCGATCAGATAGATGAGGAACGGAGGTGTGATCCAGATGTAGGCTGAGCAACGAGCAAGCCACGACGTTGCTCCGTGGAAGGCCAGCACAATCAGGAAAGGTCCAAACAGCATGTGTGAGTACCAGAAGAGGTTGAATCTACCTTGACGGAACTTGGGGATCGCAGCTAGCGGGAATGAAATGCAAGTGATAACGAGGAGAATCACACCCGTCCAGACTGGTAGAGCCTGCAGCATCGTAGTGAACGGAGGGCGTTCACCGTTTACGAACGTCGAAACGTGACGAGTGACGAAAATGGAGCGCTTGACCTCGTCCGGGGTGGCGATCAGGTACAAGTAGATCTCGTTGAACACGTGAGCGATCGTATGGATGAGGCCAGCAATAAGCAGCACGCTACCCGAGATTTTGTGAAACGCGATATGGTCGTCAAACGGGATAATGCGCCACAAAAGCTTGCTGCGCTTCATCACCTGAGTGATGGAACGACACATCGGCAGCAACACGAACACGCAATTAAGCATAGCAACCTGTGCGTTGGCACGCGCGATACGGAGACCCCAACCGATGGCCGGGTCGACCTCGTACATGAACCATTTCACCCAGAAGGCAATGTTGTTCACGATAAAGTAGAAGAAGAGCCACCATATGCGGAGCTTGTTGTCACTGTACCACTGACCAAACTTGCTCTTGGGACGAATTGGGGCTGAGTACACGGGCTTCGCTTCTTCAAGGTGGTAGGAGGCCGTCACATACGGCTCGAACACCCCACAGAACTGCTTGAACGTCATCGCATCGTTTTGAACGCGAGCCTTGCGGAACATGAGCTTGGCCACCGTCCTGAATTCCATGCCCACAACGTCGATCTTTGCACTGGAGAAGTTCGACTCAAGTAGCTGAACGATTTGCTCTTCGACTACGTAACCGGTGTTGTCAGGATCCAGTGTGTCAAAGATAAAACGTAGTTTCTCCTGAGCATTCACTCCGAGCTTCATCACAGCATCAATTAAGATGGCATTGCCATCGATCGTGCCAGTGCTGGTAGCATAGCCGTCGAATTCATTGCCGTCCACTTCAAACGCCTGCGAAAAAGTCTCGCGTTCAATGTATCCATCTTTGTCAGTGAAGTTGCCCATCGCGTCGCGTAGTGCTTCGAGCTTCTCCATGGGCGTGAACGCCTTCTCGTCCATGCTCATGGCTACATTGTACTTCTGCTCAAAGTTGCAGTCGCCAGGGATTGGCACGGTCTCTACATCGCTTCCGGGAGGTGGGCCGTACATGTCGTCCTTGCCAGCAGGCGGAGCAACACGGCATTTCTTATGGGCTGCACTGGAAGCAGACGACACGCTTGATGCGGGCAACGTCAAACTCTGGCGAACCATGTTCGAACGCATCATGGCGTCCACATTGGCCCGGCGGCGACGGGAGCGACGGTTGTGGCTCCTGCAGTTGCCCACAGCGTGGGTCGTGGTCGAGTTCATCGACACGAACTTGCTGCTGTCCATGAAATTGGTCGCCGCTGGCTTTCGGAGCGGCGGGTTTTGGTTCATGTTGACCATAGTAGACATCATCGGGGTAGTTTTGTCACCGAAGCGAGGAGCATGGGGCGACGGTGTCGAGACATCAATAAGTGCTTGCGTCTTGGCCGGGGTGATTTTCAGTTCGTTTTTAGGCTTGCCATGCCCAGGGTCTTTTCGAGAACGATCCATCGTCCGTGCTGGTGAAACTAAACCTTACAGCTTTAGAACACCACTGGAACCGCACTGCAACAAGCAAAAAGGAGAATGTGCCGAACCGAAAGCTGGATCTTCGACATCCAGCGGTGTGTGTCGAACAAGGTAGGCGCCTTGAACGCATGTTTGTATGTAATTCGGACAACTAGAAACGCGCGGTACGGCTATCCTCCAAGCAAAGCCAAACCTCGGCTCAACAATGGCGGCGGGTCTGCGCTGCGGGAACGCATCGATCCTCTACGCGCGTTTGACGCGGACACGGTCGGCTTGTACAAGTTGTACCGATAGAAGTCCATGGGCGATAGATAAATAACACATAATGGGGCTTTCCAAGATCCCCACAAAAAAGCGTTGTTTCGCTCTGCACCCAAAGCACATCCAAACTCGGATATGGTGCCGCGTCATGTTTCAACCGCAGCAGCATCCCTGCTCCATTTGTCTTTCATTTGAGAGTGCCAGCATCAACTAGCTGAATCATAACAGCAGAGATGCTAGTATAGTCATTCGTGCTCTGCATCGCTTTCTCAGTGATCCTGGGATTGTCAATTGTCGATACGATAGCGAGTTGCAGCCGAGAGGTATACATGTAATTCTCGTGATTAACTACCGCCACCGCTCCGTTCACGTTAAACCACAGAGACACGCGGACCACGATCGGCTCTGGGGATTACTTTTCTTTTCCTCAAGCACAGCCGAAGATGTCCATGTAAAAATGCCCGGGCGCGTTTCTAGTGTCACTGGCGTTTAGCGTTTTGGCTCTATTCACCGAAGGCTGTATTTTTGTGAAAGTCGTTTTTTTAGGGACAGAAATTCGTTGACCAATTTGGTTCAGCTCTTGGCTTGAGCTGCAATAGACTGCCAGAAGCATGACGGTATTAATGCGGTGATGTGTCTTCATTGACATGTCTGCAATCTACCTGTACACGTTAAATCTCAAGAAGTTATGATTGGGTCGGAGGTAGCCCCTGCTTGTTGCCGTTGAAAACACCATGCGTGACCAAGTCGCCCATTGCACTGTGTTAGGACAAAAAGCGAAAATGTGTGTTTCGTAGTCTTTGCAACCTTTGTCGTAAGCTTAACGTTGAAGAACATCGCCGCGAAACTTCGCGGTGATGTAGGAGAGGAGACCTCCTTGGGGGAAGTTGAGAAACGTGAGGGCTCTAAACACTCAGGTGGTTTCTATTCGGAAGAAGTGCAGCGTGGTTGCTACCGATTGTCTGTTGCCGAACTGACAATCGACGCGTCACTCATCCTGCTTTCCTAATAACCACAAAATAACCACAATACCGGTAGGTATTATTAGAATTCATTATTCATTCCAACATTTTTAATCTGCAACTCATGTTACCTTACTTTAAAGAGGCTGTGACTTGTTGGTCGAGTCGGAATATCCTTTCCACGATCAGGAGACCGAGAGCGAGGTGATAACCAGAATCCATCACCCCGTTGGCGTGGAGGGTTGTCATATACTTGAACACGACGATCGATGTCGCGCCAACCTTCAGGCGATGCACAGCTATCCGTATACGCGGACATACCTGGATCAAAATTACTTGCTACCTGCCCACTACTGCATCCGAAGCTTTGCTCTTCACCGCCCTCGTCACCGTCGTCTTCGTCCTCTTGAAGCGTCAATTCATGAATGGTAAGAGCTTGTTCCTCTATCGTCTTTTTCAGCTTCTGTCGCTCTAGCTGTAAAATCTTGATTTCGCCCAAAAGCTCGCTTTCCTTCTTCTTATCATTGTCACTCTGCCATGACACCTTCTCGCCTCGTATCTTGTCCTTGAGTCGTGCGACTTCATCTCGTAAGGCTCCGCACTCGTGGCGTAAGGTAGTAACCAGACTAGCGTGCTCAGTTGAGGCAAAGTTTTCTGTTGAACTAGGAGAAGCGATTTGAGCACGGTCAGGATACGATGTGGGCTTCGATGGGGAGACGTAAGTGCCATTAGCCTTCGCTTGCAGCAAGTCATCAATTGTGTGAGCCTGTTCCTACAGGGTCCACGTTTAGCTGTTAACATTTATTTTACTTTTTGTTCCAGTCGCACGTACCTCAATGAGCAGGTTGGCACTTAATTGTGCTTGTACAATCTCGTTCCAGTGTTTTGATTTTTCTTCTTTTAGCACCTCATACTGCGCGACAAACTCTTCATATCGATGCATAAGCTGCTGGTGATCTTGCGTGATAGATTTCTTGTCCGCTTCGAGGTTACGGATTTGTTCCTCCAAGTGTTCGCGCTAAGCACGACACACAAGAGTTTAGACATCCTTTAAGCTTCCTTAAAGAAGAATACGGTGTACCTCTTCTAGCCGAGCAGCTTCAAGCTCCTGGAGTTTCTTGCTCTGGTCTGCTGTCTGTTCGTCCACAGGCATTATCAAGCCGTTAGCTCTTCTTTAGGCTTACAAGGTCAAGGCAGGGTACTCACCACCGCAGTCAAGTTCGTCAAATTTTCTACCAAGTCCTGCATCGTTTTCTTCGCCCCTTCCATCTGCTGATTCTCTTCATCTCGTTTTGCACCCATTTCTCGCACTTTATCTTGAGCTTCCTTCAGCATGTCCAATAGTTTTTGCTCCTTTTCTTGGTGTTCCTGATGCTGGTTAGTCACTGTTTTGCATTTCCCCCTTAGCAGCTCACATTCTTCGACTGCAGTCTGTAATTGCTTGCTTGTATCTAAATATTTGCTGTTCACTTCCTGAAAGTGATCCCAGCGCTCAAGCTCCAAATTCTTGGTAACTTCAAGCCGTGTTTGTTCACGAATTGCATCTAACTTAATGGTCTCATCCTGTTGTTTTTGTTCGGGAGTTTTTAAACACTGCAGGCATGTGACGCTCATTTTCTTATGTTTCTTCTCGATTTCCCAGCATTCCTCTTCCTTGGCCTTCATAGTTTGCTCGTGTCGTACCTTCATTTGCTTCATGGCCTGGTAAATCTGGTCATTTTGCCGTTCTATACACGTGCGTGACCGGAATAAACCATTGTAATCTTCCTGTAGCATCATCATCTGCTCCTTTGAGTGCTGGTGATTTCGCAGCACCTCTCTCCACTTGTCCTTCATATGCCGCACCATTAAAGTGTGCTCAGCTTTTAGCTCACTTTTCGCGTGTAAAGCCTCTTGTAACGCTGTTGTCAAATCAGCTACCTTCCTTTTGTACTTAGTGACCTCACCACTCATTTTCTCCTTCAGCTGAAAGCTTGAGCGCTCTCGATAGCGAGCATCCTGAAGCTCCTTGTCGACAAGTTGTAACCTCGTCTTGCATTTTTTCAGCTCGTCCGCCACTGGACGGTGGATACTCTCCCACTCTTTTCTCTCAGTCTCCAGTTTTCCTCTTAGATGTTCGACTCTAGCGCGCAAGGCTTGACGTTCCTCATGAGTAGCTCGCACATTGGAGGTCGCCTCTTTCTTGACCAATTCTACTGTCTCCTCCTGCTGTTTCTCTAATGTGCGTAGTGTCTCGTTCAACCGAGAAACTTTTGTTTGATCCTCCTGTCGTTGATCTAGTGCTGTCTCGAGTAATGAGCTTGTATGTGTAAATTGCTCCTGGAACTTGTTGCGTTCTGCTTCTACAGCTCCCAAGGCTGTTTGTAGTGTAGCGATTTCGCGCTTGAGCTGAATCGTGTGCGAACTCGCTGCAGCCGCCGCACGAGCAGCATTTTGGTCCTTCTTCACCAACTGTTGCCGTAGCGTTTCCAGGTCGCGCAGGAACGCCTGGCGCTCCTGTGCACCAACAAGACCAGTTAGAAACATATGGCTGCATTCGTCTACAGACAACTTTAACATGAATCATCGAATAAGTTTTACCTTGTCGAAGCATCGCTGAGCGTCCTTCAGAGACAGTGTGGAGGCCGCGACTATGGCTTCTCTGGCCATGTTCAGCGGACGAGGTGGCACCTAGTGCCTTGACGACATGCACCGTGCTGCAATTCACACAAAGCCCAGCCTAATCCTGGGCTTGCGCAGAGTACCTTTGTCCCTCTATGAATAGATAACCTTGATCACCAACTCAAAAGTGTAACAAACAATTTTTACTACAGCAATGGACAAGTGGTCACTTATTATCGATTTCCTCGCACAGTTTGTAGCAGTAAGTCGGTCAGTTATAAAACGGCGAGATATGTGGCGCACATCATATTCGAAGTACGTGGTCGTATCTAAAAGCTCCCTGTTGCGTCAACGATGGGGCTGCGTCTGCGCCAACTGCAGGTGGTGCATCGTCACGGCGACCGCACCCCGTTGATCAACATCTTCAAAGGGAGTGCCAATGCCCGCGCTGAAGAGGAGGAGGTACTGTTGTGGGGGCGTCAGTTGCCGGCGGTGACGGAGCTCGCACAACTCCGCTCCAAGTTCAGCGTTCACCAGGGCGGCGAGACTCAGACTTCGTTCCAGCAGCGGCCGTTCGGATATTTGACGCGTCGAGGCATCGAGCAGATGACCAAACGTGGTGATCGACTGGTGAGATGACGGTTGTCACTGAATTAGGAAGGGGTGGAACTTCTCAAAGGCTTGTGTGACGACATTGGAATGTGGTAGCGAGAGTTGTGTAAGAAAGAGGAGCTGCAACTGGATGAAGTGTCGCCCGAGCAGGTGCAGATAATTAGCAATGCGTACACGCGCACTCAACTGAGTGTACAGGCGCTGCTGACTGGAATGCTGAAAGATCAACCCCAGTTAAGCCCTCCGGTGAGAGTGTTGCCACCGGAAAAGGACATCATCAACAGTGAGTCGAGACGCTAATATTTGGGCTAGACTGTGTTCCTGACAGTGCGTTGATGATGTGGATCTGTGTATATAGCGTACTCGATTTTTCCGGAGATCATGCAGATGAAAGCCGATTTGGAAAAGGACAATGCTGAGTTTGCTGCGCGCGAGTACGAGATGGCTCCGATCAAGCAGGAACTGATGAGGTTGTTCCCAGCGGTCGACTCTGGCCAGGTCCCGTTCACCTGGCTAACCGCAGCCGACTACTTTGTGTGCCGTCGCTCTCACCAGGTTCCTTACATTCCTGGCACTGAAGTGCATGGTAATGCCACGGAAAGACATCTTGGCTTCCGTTTCCACCAGGTAAGTATCGCAGTCTCGCTGCAATCATCGTGAGCTCTGAAGTAAAAGATGTTGTGGTTTTCCGCAGTTCTACTCGCATCGAACGATTCTGAAGCTTGTGGCTGGACGCTTGATGCACAATGTGCTACGTGAGGTGGGTCTACGCCATATCCAAAGCGAAGTTGGTGTGCATAGCTGACATCCTTTATGTGGTACTGTAGATGCAAAAGGCTTTGTGGGACCACAGCGAAAGCAAGGAAATCGTGATCTACAGCGGGCACGACGTGTCGCTGTTGTCGGTGCTCCGAACAATGGACGCCGAAATTGCGAATGAAATCAGTTTTTGGCCTGACTACTCCTCTGCCCTTGCACTGGAGCTACTGGAAGACGAGAATGGGAAATTCTTTGTTCGTGCCCGGCTAAATGGCGAAGTCCTCGCTATGGGAGAAGATCCTGACGTTCTTTACTCAGCTGATCGCTTCCGTGACATGGTCTCAGATCACATTGGAGGTCTTGCTGATTAACTTCTTCACACAACAACTACACGGACTTTTTAAAGCCAAATCAAGATGCCACCATGGGAAGCAGACAAGCAAAAATAGACATTTTTGTTTCTAGAAGCATTTTAGGCCAGCAGTTCCGCCACCTGCAAGGCACGCTTGTAACGTCGCCGAGCAAGCTTAATACTGAGCATTTTTTCCTTCTCCTCAGCCGCCGCTTCTTCCTCTTCTTTTGCTGGGACGCCAATGTCAATGATCTCTTGGGCTGAATCCATTACACGCTGCACCAGAATATTCAAAACATTGGTTAGAAACGATATTTTCTTCATAACCGACCACAACGGCTACCAACCTTGCGAGCAGCACCCTGGATACCATTGAGATATTCCAGCACAATGGCGAACATAGACTTGGGCACGATGTCAGCCTCGTACATCCACCGCAGAATCCACTGCTGCTTGATTGTCTGCAATGCCACAGACGCACAACGCCCGGTACCATAAAGCATGAGCTTCCGTTGTTGCTGGTATCGACTTTTGCAATACATGCAATATTTTAGCGCACCTTGAACTTCCAGGGTAGCTCGTCATCAGCCTTGGGTTCGTTGCGCTTCTTCCACTGCTCGAGATAGTAGTTGGCCTGCTGGATCATGTCCGGTGATCGATCCGCCTTGCCACCACCCTCCTTCACCTCCTCGGCATTCTTCTTCTTAATCACGCGTGCTCGCTTCTTGGGTACCACCTGGTCTCCATTGTCGTCAAACTTGACGTGCGACTTGGCCGTCTCCTTCCTGGCCTTGGCGGCTTTCAGCTTACCGCGCTGCTTTTTCGACGGCTTGGTGGCGGCCATGATGATACACACTTGACAGAAGTCCCAGTCGTGTGCCAACCAAAATACCTGAAAATGATGTTCCGCACATTATCCTCGTGATGCCTACTGATTGGCGGAATCTTAGGTAAGCAAAACTATGATTGGTGGATATTTTTTCATTCTTGCTCGAAAAACCCGCGGAATATGAATCATCGCTCGCGCCAAAATCGTCAAGGAGCTTACCGATGTAGACGCATCAGTTCTCTTGTTGCGAGCGAACGGACAGCTACAGTGTAAACCCGTCCCTTAATATCTTCATTAAACTCTGCTGCGGGTAGTGAATGTTCACTGAAGAACGTTAGAGTACCAGGGTCGAAACTTGGTAGGAAATGTGTATCAATCACAAGCGTCCTCGCAATGAGCAGCTACGGAGTCCCACGAATCAGATCCATGCCACCGATGACGAACGATTGAAGCGCGTTAAAACTGAGTCGCCGACGGCGGTGGATTGCGTTGGGATAGAGGACAGTCAGGGTCGGGACAGGGAGGAGGTAGCGACGGCTGCACACCGGGATGAGATGGTGGCAGCCATCCTGACCATCACGTCAGCGCTAGGACTATCGAGGGAAACGTTGCACTTATGCGTTGGGCTATTGGACCGGTATCTGGATGCTCAGAATCTCGAAGCCTCCAGAATTGAAGCACTCAGCATTTCGTAAGGATACTGGACAGAGGCTTTTATTTTCAAGACACAAGCACTAACGTCTATGATGTGCTCTACAGTTGTTTATGGATTGCTGTCAAGTTCGTCGAGACACCTACGACTATTGTCGACAAGAGCATCAAAGAGATTTTGCAGCGGCGTAGACTTTCTAGCAACGTAAGGTGTCAGTCATTTCGTCTACCTTCGTGTGGATGCTAATAGTTTAGTCATTATTCTTTGTACAGTGGAAGTGGAACGAAATTCTCAAATTCGAGCTTGACATTTTACACTGTCTTAGCTATCGGATCATGGCGCCTACAATACTGGGTGTACTCCAGAAGCGGATGCATGTTCTCACAGAAGATGATAACCAAGAGCATGGAATTGATGACCTGCTACTCGAACAGCGCCAGCTAGCGCTGTATTTTGGCGACTTGTTGCTGCTTAAAGCTCGAGCAAACCAGTTCTCTAAGGAACTACTTGCAGACGCTATCTGGTTTGTGATTTCTGGTAACCAGATTGCGGATGTGAAGCCTCCCCTGCTGGAACCCGTAGTGCTGCTTTATCTCGCGCACCGTGACAACATCAACCCACGTCACCCGGTTTTCAAGCCTTGGTTCGCGCTTCGCTGTCGTTACGGTGCCGTCCTCCCTGCGCCATGGAAAGTCCCTTACGACTCGTCCTGTGTCTGCCGAGTCTGCGAGAATGCACACGACGATCTCGCATCCTGATGAGTTACCATCAACGCTTTACTGCCTCACCAGTACGACTTTCTAAATGTACATGCACAGTAAACTTTGTCGATTCAATAGATGTACCATAGCCATCTCGTTACCAGTCCATCATTAAAAGAGTGGATCTCTCTACACGCAAAAGTATAAGCCAAGTTCAATCAACACTGTAACTATAAAAAACATGAAGGTGAGCTACCATTTGGCCTCAGGCAATTCCATCTCCCAGCTGTATCTGCATCTTGCCGTCTCTAATGTACCTGACAGACGGCGTCTATCATCGATACAACGACCTGGGATAATCTGAAGCAGATTTAATCGCCTACAGGAAATGCGTCTTGCGTAGATCCTGGTATTTCTTGTATCCGGCAGCAGCAATACCGGCAATGATGAACACAATGATGAAGAATGGGGTCTTCCAGCTACTGGACTTGGCAGCAGTTTCTTTCACGGTCACTTCCAGCTGTGAGTCCACCTGGTCGCGGATAGCGTTCACTGTGCTGTGAACACGCTCGACCACCTTTCCGTTTGCCCAAGCTTCCAGCTCGGCAATACGCTTCTCATCCTCTGCACCCTGCTGTTTCAACTTCTGGATCGTGTTTTCCGTGGACTCTTTCAGTGCTGTGAACTGGTATTCGAACTCCTCAAGCAACTGAGCGTATTTCCGCTTGACCAGCTTCATCTTGTCGTCATTGTTGCCCTTACTGAGTGTAGCTTCGAGGTTTTTGTCCACCGCATTACGCTGCTTCTCATCCTCTTGTGCCGCGAGCGAGTCAATGACGTCACTACAATGCAAAAAAATATCAATCTCCGATCCTCACAAAAAGGAAACAGTAAAAAAAATAACTTACTCGTAGACGTTGAGAGCGACAACGTCGTGGTTGTCCGCCAGACCACCCGTCGAGGCTGAGATGCCGACGTAAGCATCGTTCATCCAGTCGTCACCGATGTTCAGACGCTGGTTGTAGCACTTGACCCAGTTGCCCGAGGCGTCAGCGTCGATCAGGATAGTTAACTGCTGGTCAACCTGCGTGTAAGTGATCTTGGCACGGGACATGTTGAGCGACGGGCTAAACGCCGCGTTCTTCTCGTGGTAGCGAATGCCGGGGGCCATGCAGCCCACCTTTTCCATGTCATTGAGCTGGTCCAGCGTCTTGCTGCCATCGTTCTCGAAAAATGTCACGTCCTTGTGGCCACCGCTGTGCTCCTGGTTGACGAAGGTGTCGAACAGGACACCAATGCCCTTGAAGTCGCCAATGAAGCCGTGGTTGTCGCCCTGCACATACTGGCTAGTCGTGAGCCAAAGCGCCAGACCATCGCCGAACCAGGACTTGGCCTGGCCACTGATACGGAAGGTGAACACGGCGGCGAACTCCTTTGCCGCCAGCTTCTGCTTGCCCCAAATGTAACCACGCTTGCTCTGGCGATCGGGTGTAAGACGCGCAAAGTGGCGGTTCACGGCCGTGTCGCCGCCATAAACGAAGTTGTCTCCGATCTGCCGCAAACCCTCACCGTCGATGTTGTCGAAAGGCTTCTCAAAGGACACGTGCTCCAGGCGCTTAGCACTAATGGGAGTGGAGTGCAACAAGGCAAGCAGTGCCGCCGCACACAGCATCAGCGTGCGAGAGGCGCTCATGCTAGAGAAGTGAATAGTCTTCCAAGTCCGTAGGACTCTGGGATTTGCTACGTGGCGAGACCTTGACAAGGCGAGAGAGAGAGAGTACCGAGGATAAAAACTTAAGTGCGAATTAAGCTACGACTGTGAGAATCTCCGCAGATTCGTTGTCGTGTCGGCATGCACCTTTCTGTATTGAAGTTGCTGGCCTCTGTAAAGACCAGGGTGTGCGTGTTTTGGGGACCGTCACGGGTGTCGCCAGATCTGGTTTGGTCAGGCGTCAGGTATCAAGCAGTGCGGCTCGTAGTTGGCGAGGATGGCACGAAGATGACACGAGGCATCACCGCGCGGAAATGCAAGGTGAAGGATGTGCCTTGTGTGTGTGACATTGTCCATGGGGGGTTTTGGTGCCAGGTGCTTCCCCCCAGTCTTCACGGACACGAGAAATACAGACTCACTTTTCAATCTGCTTTGTGCCCCACAAGCCCTCCTTCCTCCTCCAGTCTCCTCGCTCTACATCCCTCACGCACCCTCAAGGCTCTGCTCGCTACCCCTCGTCTCCTCGGCTTGCACACGCACTAGTGACGGGAGCGCACGGAACCAAACGCTCTTAGGTTATGAGCCCAAGTCCGACGAGCCATGGTGAACTCGAGTGGTGGCAACTCGCCACGCGCGCCGGCCCAAGGAGATGCACCAGCTCAAGCTGACGTTGGCGCAGACATTCTGGGTGTCGCTGGCAATGAAGGTGGTCTCCGACTCTACGGTACGAGCAAGCCTCCCAAGTACGACGATGAAGGTGGCTTCGATCTGTACGAGGCGCTGTTGAAGTCCTACCTCATGCAACGGAAATGCTGGGGTGTGGTGGACGGATCCGAAACACGCGGCCGCGCTGGGGACGACGCAAGACGCGTCGGTGTCATCGACGCTGCGACGTTCGATGTGAAGAACGCGGTGGCCCGCGATGCTATTCTGCGTGGTCTACCGCCCAAGGACGCGATGAAGGTGTGTACGCTGCAAACGGCACGTGAGATGTGGACAGCGTTTGAGGCGGAGAAGACCAAACGCTCGTTCGCTAATGCCCTCTACATTCGCAAGAAACAGTACTCCGCTACCTACTCGGCGGACATGGACATGGACACGGAGAAGTACCTGGACGAAATGGAGCTGATGCGACGTCAGCTCCGCAACATGAACGATGAGATCTCCGATGACGAGATGGTGAAGGTGCTGCTTCAGGGAGTTGCGTATGAGTACCGCAACATCGTGCAGCTGTATGGCAAGGCTGTCCGCGAAGGAAATCCTCCGTCGCTGGTTGAAGTGCTCAACACGTTGCGCAGTGAAGCTGAGATCGACAGGCAGCGTCGTGAAGTGGTAAAGGCAGGAAAGGCCAAGCCCGAGGCAATCATGCAGATGCAGCGCAATGAATCGGCTGGAGACAAGCGGTCGAAGCAGCAAGGCGGACCAGGCAAGAAGAAATTCAAGGACAACGGCAAACAGCGCGAGACGCGAGAGTGTTTCTATTGTAAGAAACCAGGCCACTTGAAGCGCGACTGCCGGGCCCTGAAGAAAAAGAAGGAAGAAGAAGCCGCGGCAGCTGCTACTTCAACTAGTGGCGATGCCAAAAACACGAGCAAGCCCAAGTCAATGTCCTTGATGCGCTGGGGCGGATCTCGAGCTTCCGACGGTGACGATGTATCGGCAATCAAGATGGTTCGTGTTGTGGATGCTGAATTTGACTCGAGTATTGCTGCTGTGCAGTACTCATCCTCGGATTGTGACGAATGGATGGTGGACAGTGGAGCTGCAGTGCATGTGTGCACGAGCTGGACGGCGTTTACGAGCATGCGGGAGGACACTACGTCTTTTATAGGCTGGAAAGGTGAACGCAGCACAAGCGAAGCTCGTGGACAAGTGCGCGTCTGTGTTGATGGCACTGCATCGGGTAATGAGGTCGTCCTGGATCTGGACGATGCTCGCTACGTTAGTGGAGGTGTCACGAACTTGCTCAGTCTGGAGCTCATGGAGCTCGATGGCTGGGTGCCTTCATATACTGAAGCCTCAAATCCTGCAAATCGACGTAAGGTACTTGAGCGTGGCGATGTGCGGCTCGAGATGTCAAAACGTGACGGTCACTATTGGTTGAAGACAAAACGTCCTGTGGCAGACTCTAGTATGTGCATCATGTCAGTATCTGATGGTGTGTCGGAGCTAATGAGATGGCACATGAAGTTTGCCCACCTGAATGAGCAAGCACTCAGAGAAATGGTGAGCAAGCATATGACAGTCGGCATGGACGCATTGAAGTCAGTTGACTTTAGTGTTCCTCTGAATTGTATCGCCTGTCAGACTGCAAAGCAGAAGCGCAAGTCGTACAAGCGCCACGACAAGCGCAGCAAGGTCTGCTACGAGCGGCTGTCATCCGACGTATGCTATGTCGGTCTGGAGACTACTGGAGGACACCGCTACTTCCAACTTGTTCAGGACGAAGCGTCTCGATACACTTGGTGCTACCTGCTCAAGCACAAGAGTGAGGCAGCACAGAATGTGATCAATTTGCTTTTGCAGTTGGAGAAGGACCATGTGATCAAAAGGTTCTCATGTGATCAGTGGAAGGAATTCGTAAACAACAAGCTGAAGAACTTCCTGACTGAGCATGGAATCCAATTGCTGACGACAAACGCCTATACGCCTGAAGAAAACTGCCTTGTGGAGAAACAAAACGGGAAACTACTCAACAAGGTGCGAGCTATACGTCAGGCAACGGGTATGCCAACAGCTTTGTGGGGTGAAACCCTTCTCTACGTGGTAGAAGTTGACAACATGAGTGCCACCAAGGCTGTCAGTGGCATGACTCCCTTTGAGAGACTTACAGAGATCAAACCGGACGTCAGCAACCTTCGTGTGTGTGGATGCGTGGCTTTTGCTTATGTGCCAAAGGTGAAGCGACCACACAAACTCAGTCCGAAAGCAATTCTAACACTCTTTCTGGGATACTCAGATTCACAGCTCGGCTATCGCCTACTTGACTTGCGCACGGGTGACCTGATTGAGCGTCGCGATGTGTCATTTCGAGAAGACATCACTGTTGATGGAAAGTACGTGCATGACTTACTGGCTAAACGCTATGATGGAGCACAACTGGAGCTACCTGTAAATGTGTCATTTGTTCGTCTTCCTGTGAATGCAGTACTTGAGCATGGGTCAAATCCTGCAGACGTCGAACCTGAAGACGAGCCCATGGACGAAAATGACACTGATGTGTCGGAGTCCAGGCCGCGCGCTGTGAAACGTTCTCGTGTAACTTCAGATGAGAGCAGTGATGACGACTATGAAGGACTTAGTTTCAGTGGGAGTCGTGGAACTGAAATTGGTCGTGGCGATGAACATGGAGCTGGCTTCGGTAATGGTGACGAACATGAAGAACCTGACTTTGATTATGGTGATGGCCACAGTGGTGGCGACGACAATGACTCGCATGGAAGTGGTGGCGCTAGCAATTCGTCAAACTCGGGACAGCCAGCATCCTCTCGTGCAGCGTCCCGTGCATCATCTCGTGGCGGTAGTACCGCTAGCAACTCGGGCAACTCGGGCAACTCGCCACATGCAACTGCATCCAGGTCCTCATCATCAGCGTCGCCTTCTGCTCAACCACAGCTGAGACGATCTCAAAGAAATCGCAGAGCAAGTACATGGTACAGCCCAGGGACGTATGCGATGGCGACGATGTTGATGCGGTGCATGCTAATGGGTGGAGTCAGTGACGTCCTAACTCCTACGACAGTCCGAGAGGCTCTTGCATCGAGCCACGCTAACGATTGGAAACGTGCCATGGACGCTGAATACAACAGCTTGATGAGCAATATCACCTGGGAGCTTGTGCCTCGTCCAAAATCAACCAAAGAAAAGCGGGTTAATGTACTAACTTTGCTGTGGGTTTTTGCGGTGAAACGAGATGCAAGTGGAGACGTGGATCGGTTCAAAGCGAGACTCGCCATACGTGGTTTCCTCCAGAAGTTCGGCATTGACTATTTGGCAACATACTCACCTGTCGTCCGACTTGAATCTGTCAGATTTGTGATGATTTTGGCGCTCATGCTCGGTCTCGACTGTCAGCACGTTGATTTTGTCACGGCATTTCTAAATGGAGAGCTGACTGACGTGGACATTTATATGGAGCAGCCGGAGGGCTACAATGACGGGAGTGATCGAGTTTGCAGACTCCTCAAAGGCTTGTACGGCCTGAAGCAGGCAGCCAAGATCTGGAACGACACTCTACACTTGTACCTGCTGGAGCTGAAGTTTCACGAGTGTGCATTCGATGCAGGTGTGTACTATCGGCAAGGTTCTATCGGCATGATTTACTTGACTGTGTATGTGGACGACATCGTCATCGCAGCTAAGCGTGACGACATCGTGATTGTCGTTCGCGAGTTGGGTGCCAAGTTTGCGTTGAAAGACTTAGGGCGCGTCAAGTTTCTGCTTGGCATGGAAATCAATTTCGTTCCGGGTGTGATGGTCTGTATGTCACAGACGGCGTACATCGAGCGAATGGCAGTGCGATTCGGCTTGGAAAAGGCAAAGTCTGTCCGT